TAAAAAAAAAATAAAAAAAAAATAAAAAAGGAAGAAAGGAAGGAAGAAAAAAGGGAGAGGGAGAGGGAAAAGGAAAAGGAAAAGGGAAAGGGAAAGGAAAAAGAAAAAAAACTATTGGGTTTCTAACTTCTCCTTTTTTATATACCTGCTGATTTACAGTGTCTGTGGATATTCAGGTCCCCTTAGATGCCAAGCTTTAAGTAATTATATTTGCCATGCTGCGTGATGTATTGTATGTATGGGAACCATTCTTGCTTAAATTTGGTTAAATTTCTATTGTGAATATATACTGTTAGTTTTGCCATTCGCTGCATATTCTCCAAGTTTAAGTTTCCAATCAGATACTGCCAGAGTTGTATCTTTCTTCCCATCTGGGGCAAAATTGAAGCTTCCCCTCCTTTACAGAGAGAGGGGCAAAAGCCGCTTCTACACGCAGGCTACACAAATGTTAGTACTCACCAGAATTCTCAGAAACCAAGAAGGTCAGGATCCCCTGCTTATTTTATGTATTATCTTTGTTACTGCCCCAAATAACATGTGTTAAGGAGATGAAATTCTTAGATACATCAAACGGTTTGGCTGATCACAGCTGTTTCATTTCATCTTCCTTGTTAATCATAATAAAAAATCCAAAGGACAGCTTATTCTTTGGAAATGGCAACTGCATCTAAAACATATTCAACCATAAGCAAAGCCAACCTTGAATTTTTTAAGTATTGTGATAGATTTATGACCCTTCCCGCAATTGTTTACAGAGACATGGAACCGTGGATGTCAGTTGCTTAGAAATATGGAATGGGACTCAAATAAAAATGGACAGCGGTTGCGATGCCAGGATTCATCCCTTCTCACTGTGCATATTTATTCTCAAACTCCAGAAATGGGAGAGAGATGGGTGAGTCTAAAGGAATGCGGCGATGTTGGAAAGGCACACAGCATATGTGCAGAGGCTTCATGTGTAAAAACAGCTGGAAGTAACCAGCAACCCATTGAGTAGTAATTGAATTATTCCCAATGAGATAAAAATGGTGCACAGGGCAACATCGCACACTGTTTCAATGCCTTTCTTTAAACATCACTACAGACAGACTGTTAAAGTGAACATGAGGGAAACTACTGGAAGAGTTTCAGTATAGGGGATACTTTAAAAATGTTGTACTCTGCTGTTTTTTTCATCTAAATCAGTGTTGTCCAAACTTGGCCACTTTAAGATGAGTGGACTTCAACTCCCA